CTGTTTCCGGCCCAGAAACGGCCCAGACGTGTCTCCTCTCAGTGGGAGAACTCGGATCGGGGCCCCACACCTGAGGAGCAGAGACAGGTGCTGGGGTCAGCCCTGGCTTGGGGGTCCCAGGGAAGACATCAGTCCTCCTGTCTCCCGAGCAAAGCTGAAGTTCCACCCCAGAACCCAGGGGGGCACGTGCCCAGCCTGGACACCCTGGGGGCCCTCAGCTGCCCCCTGGCCGGGCTTCCATGTCCCTCGCCCTCACTCTCATGCCCCTCGCCCTCACTCTTGCAGAAGCGTCCCTGCCCGTCTCACCACAGAGAAGGGGTCACCGTGTCTTAGGGCAGTGCAAGCCCTTCATGCGCTTCATCAACTTGGAAACGTCTGACTGAGTTTCGGGCAGACCCATGAGCCAACGGCCCCACCCTCACTCCCTTTCCCGCGAGCTCAGCTCTGTTCTCTCCGGCATTCTCGTGCTCAGCCCCTGAAGCCGACTGAGAGGCGGGTGTGGGCAGGTTCCGGTGCCTGGCACCCTACAGACGTCTGCCCACGTCTTGTCCCAGGCCGCACGTTCATTCGGTTTGTGGCCCCTGGACCCAGGGCCAGTGCGGGGCCCCGCCCACAGTGCCCGGTGGCTCTTGGACGCCAGCTGGGTTCCGACGCCGTCCACACAGAGGTAGTGTCACAGCCCCTGGCGGAGGGCTCGGCCCCATCCGACCGTCCCCACCTCAGGGGCCATCGCAGGCCTGGTGGTCGCCGGGGATTTGAACGGACCGTTACAGACTGGAGGCTCCAAGCCCCTCCGCAGGTCCCTTGGGCTTACTAGAGCCACTTACAGAACTCCGGGAAACACGTCCGAGGGGTTACCAGGCATTAAAGGCTGTGACAAAGGTCATGAATCGGCAGGTGAGGAGCCGTGCAGGGCTCGCACAAAGGAGCCTCGGCCCTCACGGAGCTCGGGGCACACGGGAGTGCCTGGGTCCCCCTCGTATGGACTGTCTCTGAAGAGGAAAAGGACCAGAAAACTGTCCTCTTGGGTCTTATGGAGACGTTGTCATATAGTCAAGATTGACTGAGTCACTGGCCATCGGCTGATCCAACCTCTGGAGATGGTTGGAGGTTCCAACCCTCCAGTCCCACAGCTGGGCATCGGGACACCCTTGGGCGGGCCCGGGAGTCACCTTCACTATAGTGAGACCCTGGGTCACCTCTGAGAGCTCGCAGGAGCCTTGGATGAAGAAGGTCTGAGAAATGTATTTTTCTTATAAATGGTTGTATTTCAGGCCTTCCTCCAGACATCACAGGGTTGGGGTCTCACCACGGTTTCCTCACTGCTTGTACGAGTCTGGGTTCCCGGAGAAACAGAATCCATGGACACACACAGCGAGACAACAAGGACAAAGGTTAGCTCACGTGGTGGTGGACAAGGGTTAGTGCCGCTTCCAGTCGGCGACGGGAGAAGAATGAGGCACAAACAAGGCAGCTGCGAGAGACGGGAGCAGGGACGACCGTCGGAAAGACGGCTGCCACGAGCATTTCCACAGTCTCACTTTTGTTGGATAGAAACAATAGCCAACAGAAGGACCGACGAAGGTCAAACATTAGTCACATCTTGCAGACAAGCGAGGAGGAGGACAAAGTTTGCAGTTAACCAAGCACATTCAAAGGACTCATCTAACTAACAAGGGGCGCTTCTGGGAAGAGAAAGGAGCGACAACGGAGAAGGGAAGCAGGTGGTGTTTTGTTCTACACCTGAGCTGACCGGGCGTTCCCAGCTGCCCGGCTTCTGTGAAGGGGCGGCCTTCCGCCCTGAGCGAGCCAGGCATCCCCAGCTGCCCAGCTTCACAGTCGTACATCGTCCTTCTCCCCAAAGACCTGTTGCCAGTATATGTTTTTCTTAAGGCCATATCTAAATGTGCTTGGCAACTAGTAAAGTCCTCCAGGGGTTATAGTTTAAGAACAAATTGTTCCGAGCGGCAGTAGCAGGTTAGCTCACGTGGAGGTGGACAAGGGGTTAGCTCGCGTGGAGGTGGACAAGGGGTTAGCTCGCGTGGAGGTGGACAAGGGGTTTAGCTCACGTGGTGGTGGAGGCTCAGGGCCATCCGCCCGCCGGAGTCTGAATCCTAAGGCAGGAGGAGACCGACATCCCCTCTCAAAGGCAGGTCGGCAGAGTGAATGCTCCCTTCCTCCACCCTCATGCTCTAGTCAGGACCCCACAGACTGGGCGAGGCCGCTGACACTGGGGAGGCCACCTGGCTTCACTCGGTCCCCTGACGGACATGTCAGTAGCACCCGGAAACCCTTCACGACAGGTCAGGACAACGCTGGGCTTCTGGGCCCTGTGGTCCAGTCCAGTTGCGCAGAGAATCTACCATCACACGTGCTCACCTGCGTCGCTCTCTCAAGCTCCCACGAGTCCTTCTTTGTGGCCGGCCACCTAGCTGGAGGCTGATGCCACACGTTCAAAGTCCTAACTGAAGGCAGCGCCTCCCTGGGTCCTTCAGGGTGAGCGAGGCTGAGCTGTGGGGACCTCAAAGAAAGCCTTGTTTGCTGCTCGTGCCACCCACTCCACCGTGGGTCTTCAGGGGCAGCGCGGTCCAGGTGCTGTCCTTGGGGACCAGGGCGGGGCTCCCCAGCACGTGCTTCTTCGTGCACCCTAGGGAATGTGGCAAATCCCACCGTCGCGCTTGCCCGGAGAGACGCCCTTCCCTCACACCCCCACGGAGCAGCTGTGAGTCTGGGTCATGACCAGCTTCAGGGATGTGTGCGAACCAGCGCCCCGTGGCAGAGAAGGCCGTCCCTTGGCAACAGCACAAGGAGCACCGCAGAGTGGAGTCCATGGTTCTAGGGATCTGGCAGGTTACGGAGGAGAGAAGGGTAGATGGGGGATGGGAGTCCAGCCCCTCCAGGCTCCAGGGCAGGAGGACAGAGGCTCCCTCTATGACTCACGCAGAACGCCTTCCCCCTCTGCCCTGGGCCCTGGGTCTTCTCTCACGTCTGTCCCAAGTTTCCGGGGTCACCCGGGCCTCGTCTCCAAGCTCTGGCTCCCTGGCCGTGCCTGCTGTCCAGCTGCAGCTCCCAAAAGCACTTGTTGACGTCAGACGGCCGGCCCACACAGGCACGAAAGCTCCCGTCCCTCGGCATCAGGGACACCCCGCCAGAGTGGCTACAGTTAACAAGTCAGCAAACGGGGGGTGTTGGCGAGGACATGGGAGGGGGGAGGGGAATCCTGGAGGCGCCCAGTGACGCTCTGCTCGGGTCATGATCTCAGGGAGCTCCCTGCTCAGTGGGGAGTCTGCTTCTGCCCCTCCCCCCTCGTGCTCGCTGTGTGTGTGTGTGTGTGTGTGTGTGTGTGTGTGTGTCTTAAATAAATAAAATCTTTAAAAAAAGAAAAGAAAGGGGAACCCTGCTACACTGCTGGACAGGATGTGAGCTGGGGCATCCGCGCGGGAGCGCAGCGGGGAGTGTCCGCAGGGAGTGGAAAATAGAGCCAGCAGTCGCATGGGTTATAAATGTGGCGAAGGGGCCCGTGCTCCCGAACATTTAGAGCACTGACATCCACAAAAGCCGGACTCCGGGGAGGGCCCGGATGTCCACCCGCAGATGGACAGACGGGGAAGACGTGGTCCCTGCGCATCGCGGAGTAGGACGCGGCCGTGGGAAGAAGTGATCCTGCCGTCCGCAGCACCGCGGGTGGGCTAGGGGGCATCACACGGAGCGAAACAAGTCAATCGGAGAAAGACGATGATCTTCTGACCTCCGTAATATGAGGAATTCGAGAAACCAGAGAGTGAGAGACTCTCAGTGTGGGGGAACAAACTGAGGGCTGCTGGGGGGAGGGAGGAGGAGGGAGGGGACGGTGGGGCCGGGACGCCACGAGCCCCGGGTGTCCGTGAGACTGAGGAACCACAGGCCTGTACCTCAGACACCAGTGATACATTGTATGTGAATTAGTTGAACTTCAGTGAAAAAATATTTTTTAAAAAGGCACTTCTTGTGCAGCGGGTGCAGGGAAGGAAGGGTTGGTGGCCGGGTTCCTACCTGACTGAGCGGACCGCACGCCCCCAGGGACAGAGGGACCTACTTAGGGAGAAGATTTCCGATTGCTCTTTCTGCTCCTCGTTTCTTTGTGAAGCAAAACTCTGTTTCCTGCTTGTTCGGCTGCTAATGGCCTTTCTCCTTAAACTGCGAACTCGGCTTCCGGGGGGAGGAGACATCTTCTGCCCCAGACTCTGGAAACATCTGGTTTGGTAGAGTGTTCGCAGAGATACCAGTTTTATTGTCCTGTGCGATTAGAAAGTTAGGTAAGTTTTCCTAACTGTCACCGAGTTGTTCGCTCCCCTGATTATCTGTCCTCGGGAATTTGCTAGAAAAGTCTTGCAGGGGCACCTGGCGTCTGCCTTTGGCTCAGGTCACAACCCCGGGGTCCTGGGGGAAGCCTGCTTCTCCCTCTCCAGCTCCCTCAGCGTTGTTCCCTCTCTTGCTCTCTCTGTGTCAAAGAAAAAAATGAAATCTTAAAAGAGATAAAGATAAAAGAAAAATTCTTGTAAAACTCTTAAGACTTTAAATAGAACGAGCTTGACTTGTTGTAAACCTTCCAGGGCCGTCTGACAAAGAGCGGCTGGGTCTGGGGGACAGAGGGGGAAGCTGTGTGACTCTCGCTGCCCGTGGGCAGAGACCCAGCAGGGCCAACGGCAGACTCGACGGGAGAGCCCGGCCTGCCCGAGACACATGGGCCGGGGAAGGTGGGTCTCCCTGAGACTCGCCCCTCTTCACACCTGGCTCGAAGCTGCCTTCCGGGTTTTCGACGCTGCCCGTGGCTGTGACTTCAGCAGGCCACGAACCCAACTCTATTTTATTATTTCTTTTTAGTTTTCGTTTGAGTTCCCATGAGTTCGCACGCAGTGTGCCGTTGGCTTCAGGTGTGCAACACAGCGACTCAGCACTTGCGTCCAGCTCCCAGTGCACGTCCCTGATGTCCTCCCCGGGTCCCCCCATCCCCCTGCCCAGCCGCCCTCTGGGGTGACCCGCAGTGTGTTCTCTAGGGTTAAGTGAGAGTCTGTTTCTCTCTCTTTTTTCCCTTTGCTTATTTGTTGTTTCTGAAATTCCGCATCTGAGAGGAATCATGTCACTTTGTCTGACTTCTCTTGCTCAGGGTTACCCTCTCGGGCTCCACACACGTCACCGCGAACGGCGAGCGGTCATTCTTTCTGACGGCCGAGGGATGCCCCGGACATACGGACACACCCTGTCTGTACCCACTCGTCCGCAGAGACGGACGTGGACCATCTCCCTCGTCCGGCTGCTGTCGACAGCGCTGCTGGGAACGCTGGGGCGTGTGAGCCCCTCACGGCTTCTCTGTGTCATGCGGGGGAGTCCCCAGCGCGCGACCGCTGGGGCGGGGGCGGCTCCATGTCCCCTCCCCGAGGACCCTCCCCGCCGCATCCCCGCGTGGCTGCCCCAGCTCGCGTCCCACCCGCAGGGACGAGGGCTCCCCTTCGTCCGCGTCCTCACCGACACTGGCGTTTCCCAACTCGCTCTGGCCCTTCTGACAGGCGTCACGTGCCGTCGCGTCGCGGTTCCGATGCGTTTTCCGATGCTGAGTGAGGTTGAGCATCTTTTCCGTCTCTGTGGGCCGTCGGGGTGTCGTCTTGGAAGTGTCCGCGTCTCCTGCCCATTTCTTATCTGCATTGTCCGTTGTTTGAGGGCTGAGTTTGGTGAGTTCTTTACAGATTTTAGACGCTGACCCGTTGTCCGGTGCGCCACTTGCAGACACCGTCTCCCGCTCTGTAGACCACCTGTGGTCCCCGGCCACTCCTCTGCTGCGCAGAAGCTTTGCATCCTGACGTCTCAGGAGTTCAGTTTTGCTTCTGTTTCCCTGGCGTCTGGGGCCTCGTCCAGGAAGAAGCTGCTCGCGACCAAGAGGCCACGGAGGGAGGGCGCTGTGGTGTGTCTGCTAGGACTGTGATGGCTTCCTGTCCGCGTTTACGTCTTTCATCCAGTTTGTATTTATTTTCCACAAACCCAATTTTAAATATTCCAGTAAGCACATTTTAAAAGAGCAAAAGGAAATAAGTAAGATTTACTTTAATGATCTATTTTATTTACGCCAATAAATGCAAGATATCTCAACATATAATCAGTAAAAAATATCATCAATGAAACACATTATATCTTACCAAAAATGTTTTTCTCACCAAGTCTTCAAAATGATGAGTTTTTATGCTTACTACCCTTTTCCATTGGAACTCAACCAGCCTGGAAGCCCTCACAGGAGTGGGAGTCAAGAGGGAGGAGCCCTGGAGGGGCAGTGTGGAGAGCAGGGCCACTAGCTGTGGCCACACGACAGGACAGGGCCGAAGCACTGGGGGTCTCGGAAGCTCCAGCGCGGACGGGGACGGATGCTGACCGGGGCCCGCAGGAGCAGAGCAGCAGGGTCTGGAGGGACGTTGAACGAGGGCTGGGGAAGGAGCCAGGCCTCTGCCGGCGTTCCTTCTGGTGTGCGAGGGGTGACGACCACCCCTTCAGCCCCACCCCAGGGCCTGCTTTACCGTAGGTGAAACGCTTCTCTTGCTCTGATGAACTCACCTTTCCGTGGCGGTGGATCGCGGGCGGAAGAGGTGCAAGTGCAGGTGAGGGAAGGGCCTGCGGTGGGGCAAGCCCCTTCCGAGAGCGGCTCTCTACCCTTCCCCCCAGATCCTCCCCTGCAGGTGGCCCGATGGGGGCAGGGCGAGGGAGGACTGCGCCCAGGGGCTGCCGCCTGGCCAGGAGCCTCCAGTCTTCCGGGCGCAGGGGCTCCTCACCTCCTGGAGCACCCGGTGATCTTGCTCCTCGGGACCCTGGAGAGACGCTGGAGGCTCCTTCTGGGAGAGGCCACGCAGGCCGCTGGGCCTGACCCCCACACACAGAGCACTCAGGTCCTGACCTCGGGGGCTGGTCCGCCTCTTACAGCCGCCAAGTCACCCAGTTGCAAAACGGCAGGAAAGACACACTTGGGTGGGGAAGGCGGAAGGAAGCTGACACGGGGAGGGGGACCCTGATTTGGGGCTGAGCCCTACCGGGGGCCACTGCCCACAGCCGGGCCTCACCCTACAAGTGGTTAGGACTCTGGCGACCTAATTGCACTCCCTGGCCTTCCTTCCCCGGCGAGGACACGACGTCCGCTAAGCTTAAACACGGTCCAGCAAGACCATCAGGCTGCCGTCATGGAGAACCCCCAGAGTTCGGCTCCCAAGACCACCACCGTGATCGACATCCAGACGGAGATGCCCATGCGGGACCACATCGTCTGGTCCCTGTTCAACACCATCTTCTTGAACTGGTGCTGCCTGGGCTTCGTGGCCTTTGCCTACTCTGTGAAGGTGCCTGTGCGGGGTTGGGGGGGTTGGGGGGGCTCTCCCGGGAGGTGCAGGAGCAGTGAGCCCGCGGGGGTCCGCCTGGCCAGAGGGCGTGTGGGGTGTGGGAGGCCCGAGGGTGTGCGTGTGTGTACGAGTGTGAGTGTGTGCGTGTGTGCGTGGGACCGCTCCCAGGGAGAGCCCAGGCTGAGGCTGCACAGGCAGGGAGGATGTGGGGATGGCAGGGTCAGCCCATTTCCCCACCGTCCCCAAGAAGTTCTCCCTCCCAGCCCAAGTGGGGACACTCCAACCTCACACTGTGGATTAAGACCTCAAGTCTGGTGCAAAAGAAGCAAAAGGCACTCAAAGTCTGCTCCCCCGTGATGGGGCGTGAGGCCAGTGAAGGGGCCAAAGCAGAGGGAGGACAAGCCTTGGGGTCTCCTGAGAGGCTGAGAGGCTGAGGAAGGAGAGGGAGGCCCCAGGAGGGAGGGGCCCATGGCGGCAGTTGGGGGACAGACACGAGGACAGACACAGCAGAAGGCTCCTGCTCAGGCTCTGGGGAATGGGAGGGTTAAGGGCAGGTGGACCCTGCTGCTCTGGGCAGGGACCACCCCGGGGTGGGGGAGGAGGCACCCGAGGACCCTGTCCTGACCCCACCCTCCATCTCTCCCCCACAGTCCAGGGACCGGAAGATGGTGGGTGACATGACTGGGGCCCAGACTTATGCCTCCACCGCCAAGTGCCTGAACACCTGTGCCCTGGTCTTGGGCCTCCTGCTGACCATCACTTCTATAGTTATTGTTTTCACCCACTTACAGTTCGCACTGTCATTCAGAATTTAAGGCAACAGATAGGGTGCTATGAGCTGCCTATGGCCAAGGACCCCATCATCCACCACGCGCTGCTGGCCCTGCCCCGGGGCCTCTGGCCCTGCCCCTTAGCGCCCAGCCCTTTGCACTGTGTTTGCAGACCTGCCTGGCTACAGCTGAGTTCAATAAAGTGCACTTGCGTGTGACGGCGCTGTGACGTCTCCTGGGGGTGGGGGGCGCTGCCGGAGTCCCTAGCCTGCCCTGAGACTCAGCCCACCTCCCCACACCCTGCCCAGCTGTGGGGCTCTGAGGGGCCAGAGCCTGTCCTCAGGTTGTGCTGGTTTCCGGCCCCCTGCTGGGAACGAGAGCGGGACCAGGGCCCTAGGATGGGGGTCCCCGACCCAAGGACGTCCCGTGTCCAGAACACCCTTGGTCCCAAGGGTGGGGCTCCCTGACGCTCAGGGGTGCGGACACACTGGTGCTGGGGGGAGTGGGCAGCTCAGGGCCTGGGGGGAGGATGCGGGCTCCTGTCTCTGTGGGTGCGGCTGGTGGAGACCCGCACCTCCCAGCCCCTCCGGCGGATCCAGACATGGCTGCCTCGTGCTGCTGCCTCCTCCAGCCCACCAGCTCTGTCCTTGCTCCCCGGGGTAGGGACAGCCCTCGAGTGGCCTGGGGGAGGGACAGAGCTCTGGGCTGTGGACTGACTGCAGAAGCCAGTCGTCAGACTTGGCGGCTAAGCCCCAGGGACAGAAAGCCTGAGCGGAAGGCCTCACTCCCTCCACCCGACCTGGCCGGGCCCTGCAGGGTGGAGCAGCTGCCCAGGGCCCCGGGGAGGGTCTCCCAGCCCCCAGGGACCCTTGGGCATTGGGTGGGAGCTTTCGTTGGAGGCTGGGCTGCCCGTGGGGGGGTGGGGGCCATCCTCTGCCCCGTGCAGGAGGAGCTGGCCCCAGGCGGGTGTTCCTGTCTGAGGCCCCACAGGGGGTGCGTGGGGGACCCACTCCCACAGTCACCCTGGAGAGGCTGGAGAAGCCCGGGCGGCCACAGGCGGGTGTCAGCGTGGAAACCCCTTCTCCAGGGGCACCTTGCCCTCTGGGGCAGCCAGGCTTGCCAGGGTCCCAGCAGTGGGGCCGGGCCAGTCCCGGGGCTCCCCTTGAAGTCAGCAGTGGTCACGCTGGGTTCTGTGTTTGGTCCCGGAAGCCCTGAGGGATGGACGGCACCACGAGCACACCCCCCGCGTCCACCTGCGCAGTACTGGGCCCCTGGGCTGGCCGCTGCCTGGAGATCCCCTGGCCAGCCCTCAAAGTGCACAGGCGCCCCGGATCCCCAGCACCCCTCTGTGTGAGCAGCAGCAGGACTGCCCGGGGCAGGTGGGCCTTACAGGGGGGACTCTGGAAAGACCTGCTTCTGGCCGCTGGGGGCTGGCTGGGGTCAGGGAGTGTGCCACCACTAGCCCCAGCACCCTGCCTGGGGTGGCTCCCACCTTCCCGGACCCGGTGCGCTGAGGTAGGGCCCCTGGGATCTGGCAGAGTGTCCCACCATCAGTCTCCCCTCCAGCTCACCGTTCCCAGTTTCTACCTCATCTAATGGGGACTATACACCACATTCCTGGAGCCCCCTCGGAGGGATGGCCCCACCTCCCACTGTCCTGCCCAGGGTCCATCCTGAACTCCAGGACAGAGCACGAGAAGCTCGAAAACCCTGCACACGGCTATGCCAGGCAGATGGATGGCGAGGGCCATGGGACTCGGTGGAGAGCAAGGTGACCTCCTCTGCCCCAGGATGGACGGTGCGACAGGAGTGCTGTTAACGGGGTGTGCAGGCCAGGCAGGCTGCTAAGGGCCGGGACAGCCATAGGACCCGGCAGCAGAATTCTAGAGACCGTTACAGCCTGTTCCAAGAGGCCAGACAGAAGCCCAGGCATATGATGCTCACAGCTTCTTCCAGCCAAGGAAGCAAGGATGGGGAACCAGGGCCATGTGACAGCATCTCCGCAGAAACACAGGCCTGAGCTCTGCTGTGAGCTGATCTCAGACAAAATCCGACCACTGAGTGAGGTTGGAGCCCGCAGTTGGAAGGGTGCGGCCACCAAGAGCTTTGTGCAAAATCCCACCCCTCCCCACGTCCCCACGGCACCCAGGGCAGGTCCTTTCTACTGGGCCCTGGTGGACATGGGATGGGTGACCAGAGAAAGTGCTGGACTCAGGGCCCAGGTGAATATCCCAACAGGCAAAGCCTTATCCTGGCCCCTCTTTTAGGTGGAGCACAAAGGTTTCAAGGAATCATGGGGCTCCAGGCCCACGTCAATCTCTCTGTGGGACTCTTATCCCTTCCCAGGAGGCTTTCCCACTCCTCAGATCAGTAATGGCACCAGAAGTAAATGGCGACTGGCCGGTGGGCTGACCAGGTGGGGGACAGACGTCCTTCCTACTCCCTACCCCCCAGCTGGGAGAGAAATAAAAAACATCAGAAACCAGGGCCACACTCCAGCCTGATGGGTACAGGGGCACTGGTCCCCACCGAACCTCTGCTTCATCCCTAGTCTGACCTTCAGACCCAGGTGGAGCCTGGCAGACACAGCGGACTGCCTGACAGTGACCCAGTGGGGGCCCCACGCGCGGCTGACACCTGCTGTCCTGAGGGCTGGGGTGTGTGGACAGTCACCTGCCGGAGCTGTTCCTGTCTTCTCTCTGAAAACGGACGTGGGCCACCGGGTGTCCCTGGGGCTGACCTACCCACCATGAGCAGGGCTGTACTGGACCCACCAAGTCAGAGCTTTGAGTGGGCCCGCACCTGCTCCTGCCGGGGCCCACGAGAGGCCGGAGGCAGAACCTTCCAGATCAGTGAGGCCGTTTGCTCTACCCGTGTCATCCAGCTGCTGTCCCACACCTGTCCCTCGACTCCTGCCTGGGCTGCAGGGACAACCCCTTGGAACCGAGGATGGGAAGGAAGAATTCCTGGCCTGGTTCTCCGTGGGTCAGTTCAGCGTGAGGCAGGAAGCTGGACAGAGATGCGACTGCAACGCTGGCCCATGCCACGGTGTGCTGAAGCCCCGGCGAAGGGACTGGTCAGTGGGCAGAGAGGCAGGCAGACACTGGCCTTCCTCTCCGTGGGGGGTGACGTGGGGACTCCTAGATGGGCACGGAGAAGGCCTCCGGGCGCTGCAGGGGCGGCGGGAGCCAGGCTGCGGAGCTGGGGATCCGGGGCTGGAGGGAGGCCGCACACAGACCGAGGGTGCGCGTCTCATCCAGGCCAAGACCGTCCCCTCCCGTCGCAGAGGCGCTCCACGGCCCGGATTCTGCGACCCGCGCTGAGCTTGGCCGGGATGGAGTGAAGCCCGGAGAAGCCTGGACCCCGTCCACCGCAGGAGCCCGAAGTCACCCGTGCTCAGGAATAGCCCGCGGCCAGTCCCAGCGCGGGGGAGGGGCGCCAACCTCCTCAGGCGCCCACGGGAGAGCCGCCCCCTCCGCGAGCAGGGATATCACCATGGTGGCGGGGGATGAGCCGCGGTGGGAGGGGCACCCCCAGACCCTGCGGAGAGCGGCCGGTCAGGACTTGGGCCCAGGAGCGCGGGGGGCGGCTACACTCCGGGTGTGTACATGGGCCGGGTTGATGGGTCCACTCCTGGTGATGAGGGAGCAGGAGCTGGCTGAGGACAAAGCAGAAGCTGGCACCTTGCACCCCTCTCCACCCGCTCCCCTCGGTAATGTGGGTGACATTCCTCAGGCACCCCTGACTGCCATAAGCGAGAAACAAATAGTTAACTGCAGAGATCACAATCCTGCAAGACAGTCTCCCTTGGTGTACAAATGTCCTAGAGATCTACAAACAAAGAAGTTACCTTATCAATAGCACAATTTCCAGAGGCAAATAACTCAGTTCCTCAGCCCTAAATAAAGTTAAATTTCTTCTAAATCTAAATCTCACTAACAAAGACACTTGATAGCAGAAATGTGAATGGCTTGATAGCGGAAATGTGAATGGCTGGCCAAAAGACAACATTGGATCAAGCCACAAGGCCTCCAGTATCCGGGCACCACCGTGCAGGCCCTCTTTAGCATATGAAAGTTCCGTTGAAACCTCCCTTCCCCTCACCTTCCCCCGAGGGCAGGGTACATAACCTGCCATCCCTCACAACCCGGGGCAGCAGCTCTTCCTGCCCGCGGGTCCTGTCCTCCGGCTTTAATAAACCACCATTTTGCACCAAAGATGTCTCAAGAATTCTTTCTTGGTCATCGGCTCTGGACCTCACCCCACCGAACCTCACCTAGGTTCTAGAACTTCATCACTGGGGCACAGTGGGTCCACAGGACAGCAGAACCACACACTGGCAGGATTTAACAGAAGACTGGGTTCCAGGGGACACCTGACTGGGGGGAAACCCCGAGGTGGTCACTTGGGGAACCCCGAGGCGGGAAGCAGATGACACCTGTGAGGGGACCCAGGGAGGGGCTGAAATGGTGGGAACCTGGAAAATGGGCGACCGGGGCCAGAGACCCAGACCTCATGCTGGTCTGGGGGCCCTGAGCCAACTGGGCCTCTAGGGTGAGGGCAAGAGCTCCTAACAGGCCAGGCCCGGCCTGGGCCATCGGCTCTCCACACCCCGCTCCATGCAGGCCAGGACCACAGGCAGCAAGAGGACGACTGAGCCTTCACTCTTAGAAAGAGCTGAGTCCTGGCTACTGACCTGAGGTGATGCTCTCCTGAGAAGTGGGCACAGGCCGGACAGCCGAGGAGGAAGGCCGGACGTCCTCCTGGAACCACAGAGCAACACCTAGTGACCCGATGGGGGCAGCAGTGAGGAGGATAGCTGGGCGTGCACAGTGTGCTGGCCACGTGCTCCCAGTGGCTGCCGCCTGGCCCAGAGTCTTCCTGTCTCCCACCACAGTGGGCTCCTCTTGTCCCGAGGCGCCCAGTGATCTCACTCCCAGTAACCCCCTGGAGGCTCCTTCCAGGACAGGAAACACAACAGGCTGCTGGGCCAGACCTGCGTGCATAATAACCACCCCCCCCGCCCCCCGGCCCCCAGCATGGACTTCAGAACCAGGGAAGGTCAACAGACAGGAGGCCTGTGACCCCTGAAGGATGGGCTTTGAGGCTTGGGGGCTCTCTCTGGCGGCTGGAGTCTGGATGGGGCCTGAGAGGCCTGCAGCGGATGTGGGTCTGGGTTGGGGGCAAGGGTGGGGAGACGCACAAGCTAGGGAAGGTC